CCCCAAAACCCCAAAACCCCAAAACCCCAAAACCCCTATTAATTTGCTCAACACTGAATACTACTTTATGGAATAAATCTAGCAAAGACACTTAAGGGTGATACTAGAGAATTTGTGCTTCCAGAGCAAGCATTCAGGACATCTGGGAATCTGCTCTTTGCAGTCCTCAATACACTTGTTAATAGCCTCGTGGTTCTTTCCATCTTTGGATTTGCTCTGGGAGAAAAGGTACTTGGATTCCTTCTCGATTATGGCTAGTTTGATCAAGGTGAACACACTTTTCAGTTTGTCCTGCTTTTTGTTACAGGCTAGGCACTTGGAGTTCTGGCTACCGTACTTGCAATTTATCAGTCTGCAGTTAAAACACCAGTAAACTATCCTATCAGACTCTGCACTTATGAACTCGAGTAAGAAATGTAAGGAGTCATAGCAAATTTGAGCCTTGTCATCAATCACTGTGAAAATGTCATCTCTATTAACCAACTCTGTACACTCCTTATCGTGACACATGATCTTGTACTTTCCTGTGATTAGAGTACTAATAGTCTTCATCTTCAAGCAACTGTTATGGATAAAGTGATTGCAGTTCTTCAGTGGCCTTGTCTTCCTACTCATTTTATGACAAAAACTGCACTTATGAACTGCATTCTCTTCTTCCTCATAAAAGGGAGTTTTCTCTTCAACCAAAGTAGGACGGGAGTTCTTTGATTTTTCATTTTCATGTTCTTCCTTACTTTCCTCTTCCTCCTTGATGTCCTTCAAAGGCTCTTTATCACTCTCTCTTGTGTTATTCTTATCCAAATCTGGCTTGGATCCATAGACATGAGAGAATAAGTCAGATGTGTTAGTTCCTTCAATATTCTTCTCAGCCTTCTTATAATCTCTCTTCTTCATTGATTCCCTGTTCTTGCCAAGGTTGTAGGTCAGCAAGAAGGAAGAGTACATCAGCAACTTCTTTTTGTCCTCATCTAAGCCCATTTCATTAGCACTTTCCTTCCAATCTTCAAATAGAGATGCCCAGTCTTCGATCGAGTGAGATTGGTCTTGTACAAGAGTACCAAGAACAAGTCCATCCAAGAAGGTGCCTTTCTTACCTTTCTCGACTAATTTTGTCCAAATTTCCTTATTCTTCGTCATGCTCATTGTAAATTATTAATTACATATTTCAGTATTTCCAGCTTGAAATGGGGTTTTGGGGTTTTGGGGTTTTGGGGTTTTGGGGTTTTGGGG